AAAAAGTACATGTCGAGTCTGTGCGATAGTAGTCGAAAGGTTTTTGAATGAAAAGTGGTTACAGTCGTCTCGGAGTCAAAGTACATCAATAAAAGTTTTCGGGCCGGATCGAATCTCTTCGTCTTTCTCTTTACTCCTCGACATAAACGGTATCGCCTCTTCCAGTGGGCCGACCAGGCTTGGTCCCGGTGTTCTGGCTTTGACTTTGGCCGGATTTTCCGCGACCGTCGTCTTCTTCTCCTACCACTTCATACGCGCGGTCCTCCCACTCAGGCTCCGAACTAGCTTGGGGCTGTCTGTGGCCATGATTTTCAGTGTCATATCCATGCACCGCTACGTGGAAACGCACTGCTGAGTTGCTTGGTTCTGGCTCTTGGCCGCGTCGACGTTCTCTGAATGTGTCATCTGAGCCGAGGTGTCAGTCGAATGGCTCACAGTTGCTCGGGATTGCTCACAGTGTGGGACGGACAAAAGATGTCGGAGCGCTTAGGTGGCAGGGATGTCGATGTGCTGGGATGTCGAAGTAAAGGACCACACAGCTCTTTTGCCCTTTTATCTGCGCGGTCTTTGTCTTTAGCGCCAAGTTAGCGCCAGTGACGTAGGTGTCATTTACAGCCATTCTCACAGCATACAGCCTCATACAGCCCCCAGATACAGCCTCTGTCATCTTTATCCCTCTTTAAAGTTTATCGATAACAAGGTTCCCTGATTGAATGAGCATCTTCCCGTGCTGCCCTCGTTCCCCGTGTTGCCCTCATGCTCAGCTCCCCGGTGCCTCAGTGGATCGCAGCCTTCCGTTGGTTGCTAGCTGTACTCCGACGAGGTACCCCAAAGCTCCCACTGGGACTGACCCACGTTGTCTCGTTCCTGCAGACCGCCATACAAAGATTGCGATGGATGCCTTTATCTTGCGCCCGCAGTCAGGATAACGTGAACGATCTCGGATTTCTGTCCTGTGCCAGCGATTCGGTTCCCGCAGGGTATGGTATGCAAATCCTGGAGCAACCCCGGGCCATCGGAGGCTTCGATGTCGCCGCTCCGGGAGACTCGGGCTCTGACTCGCCAGAAAAAGACTCGGAAGCATTCACAGCACCGGATGTCAAATCTTCATGCGATTCGCAGCCGGAGCCATCGGGAGCTCGAGAGACCACCGTCGCCACCCCGGCGTCGTACTCGTCTTGTGCGCCTAGGATATCGGATATACGTCTCATCCTCCCGGAAAACTTTGCACGATACAAATACAGAGAGACCGAGTAAGTTCGTCTAGTCAATGTGGAATGGGCCTAAAATTCTTCTCCAGACCTAAAGAGGCAGAACCGTACAAAGTGGGAGCTCAAACGTTGACTTTCGCACCGTGAGTCGTAAATATACATTGCTCAAAGCCTCGTCTAAACGGAAATCAGGGGAGACCCGCCTTCGGGATGGATTGCACCTCTTCATCCTGAAGGGGCAAAATATTATTGTGATACTCAACGAGTACGTTCTTGGAATATCCAGATTCCAATTCTAACTAGACCCCCCAGCGCATATTTACCGATTTGAATATTTGTGATCCTCGAAATCTGGCAAATCTTAATCAAGTCGTCGAACATATCGTCGAGCAAATTCGAGCATCGGGAAGTAACGGAAATCTCCATTATGCCGCCCTTCTTGGCGAGGCACAAGATCCAGATTTACTTGTTGATTTGGTCATCGATATGGACGATAACAAGATGAAGCCAACGCAAGGATTCTACTATTTTATCAATCATTCCGAGCGATGTCCCTTCTGGTTGGATTCCTTCTTCCCCGCTCAAGAGCTTCGCCTGTGGGATGGTATTCAACTCACAATGGAAATGCAAACAGAACAACTCCGTGAGTAGGTCCCACTTTTCCTCAAATGGTACTGAATCATATCCGATTCAGGGCATGCAATGGAACACCAGTTCTGGTAGTGTCTGTTTGCCACTGTCGTCGACCTCTTTTAACGAATAATAGGCAACACTGTGCGCTTTTCCCGAACACTCTGCACCTGAGCGAGCGACGCACCAAAGAGCTGGCGGACTGCATTATATTTGCCATCGGAGGTTCGAACATTTTGTTTGATGATACATAAATTTACGATCTCGTGCCAGACCTATCGACCTCCTTCACATCAACTGTACCGCAGACCATCGAAGAACTGAAGACTTGGCTCTCTGTAGTCAAGCATCTGCAACCAAATCCGGTCGCCTCCCAGGGCGCACTTTTACACGATGGTTTGGGCTCCGCGTTCACGTTTGGTGAGACTTTGTATCTGACTCATAGATTCTCCGTGAATAACGTTATGTGATAGCGAGAATGATGGAGCAGTTTGGTGTGTATTTACGGTTGTTCGCAGAATTCTGTACTCACTCCATTCATAGCGCAAGGCCGCTTCGACAATTTTCACGGTCTTCCTTGGGCTCGCCTGAATCACGATCAGTCTGTTTTTAAAAAGGAGGAACATACAGAGTCGTATTTCGCCCGAGTCATAGCACTTGCTCTCTTCTTTACTCCGGCAGTCTATCTACATTCGCTGAAAAAGGCTTACGTGGATAGAAGAGTAATGATGAGAGTATGGAAACCGCTCATCCACAAGCTGAATACAGAATGGACGGATTTCATCCTCATTGTGAGTGAATGATCTTGTCGGCTGCGACAACCACCTTACCACAGACCAGGGCACCGTCATCCTGAACGCCAACGTCGCGTTCCTATCAATCGCCAGTGTAGACACCCTCACGAACGGCCGCCATTCGTTGGTCCAAATATTTAGCTATCTCTCCATCGTGGCCAGCATGGGCTCCGTCATCTTGGCGCTGCTCCTAGTCCGCCAAAACCGCACGAAATTCCACGAGTCGGCCAGCGATCTCGTACGAACCGCAAATCAGTCCTATGTCTTCGAGACTAATTCCTGTGTCAGTCAGCGTCCCTTCATGTCCGCATTCGTGAAACCGGCGGCCTGAATTTACTCGCCATAATATTCTCGCTCCCGTACGCACTCTTGATCTGGTCGACGATCTTATTCTTCGCCGCCTTCCTCACAACATGCCTGCGAGTCCCGGACACGATCTCGCGGTCGACCATTTGCGTTGCTGTTGTGATCGTCTCGGTCTGCATCCTGTGGTGCATTTGGGATGCTTGGCCGATGGGCGTCTCTTCCCCTGAGTCTGTGAAGGCAGAAGTGGAAGAAGAAGATGCGCTCGGCGCGCCATTCGGGCACAGATTGCTGTCGTTTTCGACTCGTATTTCGACCATCAAGCTGAAGGAGCGCTTTGTGTGCGTGCCAAGGGTCATGAAACAAGTGCAAAGAAGAATGTCGACACTATTATTCTCCGAACCAAGTCAAATACCCGACCCTCACCCCGTGTGAAGCTGGGGAAGCAGAGTTCTTTCACACGCAGTCCAGGGGCCTTTGACACCATGTTGAAAACCAATACAATCACAAAAAGCCAATAAAAATTAGTCAAGTTTAGTTGGCATATGTTAACCGTGAGTCAAGGTTTCGCCGCAACCATTGTGCTGGGCTCAGTATTTTGTCCGTATTTGCTGTAAAGTATTACAAGAGCCTAGGGGCACTGCTCAGTATTCTCTAATATTTTTATCTTAATTTATTTTCGCCTTGGTGACTTCAGAATCCCAAATTTCGCGAGACGGATGCCATGCGAATTCTATGCACAGCCACATTCGCGGTGTGAAAAGGTGCTGCCCAAGTATCAAGGCCGTGCTGAACCAGGATTATACCTAGTTGGTCTTTACGATGTATATCCCCTACAACGTGTCCCTCAAACAATAAATTTGAGTGAGTGGGCGACTTGCGCTGAGCTCTATCAGAAAATTATCTTTTATGGAACTACCTAATCCGGAACAGGCTTTTGATGCACGACCAAAATCAGACCTTCTTTTTTTTGGGGGGGATAATGAGATCCAGTCTCACACCCAGGATGGGAACCTTTTAAGGTCGCTTAAAAGACCTATGGAAAGAATGTGTATTTGTAGTCTAATATATCTTGATTAATTTAACGAGATTCAATGAAGTAAGAAAGGATTACAGACACAACTAGAATTCATAGGCCTTTTCGACTTGATTGATTTCTATCTTATTCACCATGTAAGAAAGGTGTCCGAAAAGAACATCAGTCAGGTGCCAAATCAACCATATTTGATTTCTGGGGTATCGACGGTACATAAAAGCACATTGTAAAGTACATGTTTTAGGCCAATGAGGGATTTTTGCTATTTGTCCGGCATTTTCCGATCCAATAGCAAAAATCCCTCATTGGCCTAAAACATGTACTTTACAATGTGCTTTTATGTACTGTCGATACCCCAAAAATCAAATATGGTTGATTTGGCACCTGATTGATGTTCTTTTCAGACACCTTTCTTACATGGTGAATAAGATAGAAATCAATCAAGTCAAAAAGACCTATGAATTCTAGTTGTATCTGTAATCCTTTCTTACTTCATTGAATCTCGCTAAATCAATCAAGATATATTAGACTATGAATACACATTCTTTCCATACGTCTTTTAAGCGACCTTAGAAGGTTCCCATCCTGGGTGTGTCTGCAGAAACATTCCAAAAGTCCCAAAATTAGACCTTCAAACAGGTTTTCTCTCCATCGCCGCTCACAAAACTCTAGTCTACAGGTCTGAGTACCGTCTGACTAGGGCCCAAAAAGGAATGATCTGATTGATCAATCCGAGTACGATGTTTTTCCTTGAACACGGTCCCAGAACTCTCTCATTATTGCTCTTATGTACTTCATGTAGCTGTCTCAACATAAAATGACAATGTTGAGCACTCTGCATATGGTTGAGAGACTGGTCATCGGCATTTGACAGATCATATTGGGTGATCCAGAGATCCGAGCTCATTCGCGGCAAGATTCGGTCCTGAGACCAAAACGCAAATCAACGGGGTGAAGTCAAAGAAGTTGGGAAAGGCAAGCAACCAATAACGGAGGAAAAAAGTATTGCTCAGGAGAGGAAAACAGTGATTAGAGTGGGATTCGAACCCACGCCCGTGAAGACCAGAATACAAATAGCATGGAAGGCATCACGAAGATGCTGGTCCTGAATCTGGCGCCTTAGACCACTCGGCCATCTAACCCCAGCGGAAATTGATGGTCATGGGGGACACATTCCGCGTAGGTGGCAATGTTCTTTCCAGAATTGCTCGGGTCAAATGTTACACTATATTATATTATGTTCAAATGACTACACACCTAATAAAGCAAACTTTCAGCCTCGTTAAAATGGGAGGTGAAAGGTGAGCTTCCAGACCAACTTTCAAAAAGTGCTGAAAGTGTTACATTCCGCGCTCCGAGATTTTTCCTATTGGCCCGGCATTTCCCGGACCAATGGGAAAAATCTCGGCCTGCAGATTGTCGTACTTTCAGTCGCTTCTGAAAGTCTGTCTGAAAGCTCACCTTTTTACCTCCCATTTAACGAGTCTGAAAGATTGCTTTATTAGGTGTGCTAGCAAGAACCCATGCTCCGCACGGTCAATAAAGTCAGTGTAATGGAACAACGGCATGAAAGATTTCCAGAATCCATGAGCCTTGATGTTGCTGAACTGGGGGACGCTCATCACCAACCTACGGTTGGTTCCTCGCGTCCTGATGTCCTTGTTTACATGAAGAAATGACCCCATCGTTTGAATGCACAACAGCCAACCGTAGGCGGTGTCAACTGGGGTTCATTGCACAGTATAAATATATCATTCGGTCAGAGACATTATAACCTGCAGCCAGTACTGCATGAATTAAACTTTCTGTTCAGCATCACAGTGCCATTGTTCGTGCTGACCGTTCGACCACGCATTCATATTTGGTGGGGCATCAGGTCCCGCAGTCGCATTGACTTGCCTCTGCCCCACCTTGCATCATCGTCATTCGTGCTGCGCAGTGGACCGATCGAGTGCTGCATCTGGACCTTGGTCAACTTGTCTCTATGCAGCCTCACGTCAACATCATTCACACTGAATGATGGAACATCCATTGGGAGTGAGTCCATTGGTTGTTGGAAGCCCCTGCAGTATAATCAGTGTTAGCATTGGAGGCAGTTACAGCAGATGCACCTGAGGCTGTTGTACCTGGGGTCTAGATAGTCCAAGTGTCGGGGGCCTGACAGCAGGCTGACAGGCGAGGAGAGACAGAATATAATGATGGCATTGCGGTCTGTCGAGCATTTCGGACAATTTTCTCATGACAATGGACCATCGAGGTTGACAGGGGGGGCAAAGACATTGTACCGAAAGGCTTCATTAGAAGGAATAAGATCCAAAGAAACAACAGCACATGCACATATCTAAGAGCGGCAGCAGAAAACTGGGATCCAGACCAAGAGTCGGAAATCCATGAGTAGACGCACAAAGCGAGGCCTGAATCACTCGTTACGACCTACGTGATGGGTGTAACGCGGGCAAACACTTGGGGCAGCAGCTGGCCGAGTCTCATTCACCAACAGACAAAAAAGCATGTATTAGCCCAGAGATATACAGTGTAAGCTTACTGGAGAAAAATAGGACACTAATTCGACACAATCTTATGGACAATAAGTATAAGAGAGGTTCTAGAGAGGTTGAGCGGTGTCTGGGAGTCGTGGTGACACTGGTGAGCAAGGCGGCACATCCAGGATGTCAGGATTGTCGTGCTTAGTCCAGGTGTCCTCAGTGTTGTCCAGGCAGATGTCAGGCTTACATGAAGTCAATGAGGGAGGTGTCGAGAGGCCGTGTATGAAGCAGGGAGTCGCGGAGAGCTTTGACGTTTGTCTCCTTTGTTTGTCTCAGCATTTGTCTCGGACATTTATGACTAATCAAGCTCATTTGTATAAGAGATGGACCAGAGGAGATCACATATGAACGGTACCTTAAATTAACTAACTCGTGTGGTTCCAGAAGGATTTGAGTTGTGATCCACCTCTGTCCCAATCGGGACACAGGCGTTAGTGGTCTCTTTCGGGAGGTGGCTGTGTATCGACGCCGTTCGACCGAATCTCTGCCTCATCCTCCCCTGGCCTCGTTATCTTCCCTTCCACAAGAACTGGTGGCCAAGATCGTCGATGAATTCCACGATGATCCACCAAATCTACGCACCTGTGCTATGATCTCTCGGACCTTTCTCTCATGGAGTCGTCTCCATCTGTTCTCTACAGTAGTGCTGGCCAAATATGCTATAAATATGCTCGTCACCATATCGTAGTCATATCCGTATTGTAGCCACCCCGGGGCCTCGTATCGTATTCATAGTGTATTATATTATATTTTGAGTCCGAATATGAGTATATTTTGAATATATGCAAAATATATTTACTTCCTATGAGCGTTAATGAATTTCGTGTAGTCTAGCCCAGATTTTAGCCATTCCTTTGTCACAATATCCACTGCTGCTGTCTCCACGGTCATGGATGAACAAGCATCCGATAATGTGTGCTTGACACTTGAGACTAGGTGTTCCACAGAGATGCTCACACCAGGGATTGCAAGAATGTCTCATGCAATACACACCATGAACGGTAAAGTTCCTTACATGTTCTGGGACCAATAATGAGTATGAAGATGGAAGGACAGTATGTGAAACTCGCCTTCCACCAAGTCAACGGGTCATCAAAATCTCCTCCTACAGGAAAGATATTGCCAAAGTAAGGTTCGACCTCAACCTTGCCATCAATGACCCCTGCAGGTATACTACCATTTAAAGTGAGTGCAAAGATAAGGTGACAATCCGTGCTTCTGGCCCGCTTCCGCCCACCATGAATATTAAATATATTTGACTACGCCGAAGGAGTATTATATTATAGTCATATTATAGCGTAGTCATATCCATCCGTAGTCATATTCTGAAGTTGACCTCTGGCCGTATTATATCCGTATTTTGCTGAATATAGTCAAAATATATATTTTATATTATATTTTTGGCCAGCACTACTCTACAGTTCTCTACTGTAGTACGCCATACTGAAACATGTACGCGTTCCACATTTTCGTCGCGCCATCGCCCTAACGATGTGCGTGCGAAAGCTGGACATCTCTGGACACACCCGTGATGGCGTTGTTCCCCGCTTCTGCCTGGCCCAATTGCCCAACGTCACCCATCTTTCGTGCCATTTCGACCCTTTTGCCTTCTGCCAGACCTCCGCGGACGAAAAGCTACTCCTCGTCTCTGCGATGTGCCAGCTCACGACGATGCACGTCCTTATCGATCGTGTCTGGAGCCTCCCCCAGTGGGCTGCACTGTTGAATGGCAGTTCCGACCTAACGGAGCTCGCCATCCGTGCCGACTCGACGGGATGGTCTGTGTAGAAATCTGAGGTCACGGCACAAATGCCCGTTGTGGCGGCGGAGACCACCCCGCGCCTGCACACTTACTGCTCGGAGACTGGTTTGTCCCAGGTGGCTTCCTCCCGCGCTCCACACACTGTCGATCGACGTGTTGTATCTCCAGGATGACTATGACGTGCCGGACCACAGACAGCCAATTGTCCTCGCGGCCGCACCTACTCTGCAGGATCTGACATCAGCCTTTCTACAAATTTCTTGATCGCGCTTGAATGGTCTTGATCCGTCTGGAAACGGCCTAAAAAGACCGAAAAGTGCTCCAGTCCACAAGAGCTCAAGACAGGTCCCAATTTCCACAAGTCCGAAAAAAACTTTTGCCTCCCGACCTGACAGTCCGTCAACTCTTCTGACGCCACATTATTTTTCGAAATTTTTGAGTTCAAGCGGTAAAATCCATTCAAGTCCATCATCCACAAGTTTTTTGTTCAAAGACTGATGGACCCTACACCTCGATCCCCGTATGTTTGCTCTCTCATTCATTCTTGCTAACAATCACCGTAGCGATGTCCCTCGCCGCCACGCCCCACCCGATCTCCCTGGCCTCCTTCCCCCATCTCTGCAAACTACATCTCAGAGATGGGCCCGACGCGAACATCGGCGAGTCGCTCAAGTGGCTCGTTGCTCTCTTGCAGTCCCCCGTGCATATCGCTCCCGGGCTCGGTGCGCTCGAAGAAATCTCCATTGATCACAGCATAATCCGAAGCGACCTGCTGGCGATCCCAGATGCGACGTGAGACGCGCTCGAGGCGGCGCTCCTCCCGGAGCCCGAGTTCAGGTTGCTCACGGCTCAAGGGCTACCAGAAATTCAGCTACGGGATTACCGATGTGTTTGGGCACTTCTAGGCGATGATGCGGGATAGATTGCGCGCACTGTATCTGAAAGGTGTTCTACAAATGCTGCAGTGATTGGTGACGTTTTTTGTTCGCACTTTTACGATCCATTTAATTTCCAAGGGTCGAAACATATTCTGTATGGACCAGAATCTGTGTGGATTCGGCCACGCTTACACCGCATATTCTTCTTCCGACGCACCATGCGACTACCAGCCCGGAAGCGACCTAGTGCCGAGTTCTTTGTGCCGCACCTTGACCGCAGATGGAACATGCCACGGGGGCTGGGGGACTTGGGCACAGGGATGGGCATATGTTCGCCAGTATCGGGTTCGCGCCCGGATGGGGGAATACCATTTCTACGGCCGCAAAGATTAATATACGCACTTTAATATCGTGGTCAGCAGTACCCCACAGCTGTTCGCAGCTGTTTTTCTCTTGCTCCCGCCGTTTACATCGTAATGGGGTAACTGCTTGTCTGGGTCAAACTGCTCACCTCCTCGATCCAGGGTTGATCCAATGCATGAATGGGGGGGGGGGGGGGGGGGGTGTCATAGAAGAAGAAGAAAAAATCGGCCACTCCGCGACGGCACGTCTACTAAGTTGCATCCGTAAAAGTCGAGGATACTCAGTTGCCAATACCTGCGACATCGGATAATACCTGCGACATCGGATAAGATCCTTGCGCGATTATATTTTTTCAACATCTAGTTCAGTACACCGTGTGAATGATCATTAACATGGCGAGGTGGAGGAGAAATAGAGCTTACCATGTGTGCTGCAACCTCCCAACAAGTACGCTAATGTGATGGTCAGAATTCTCTCGCACAAAAACCGCGTGTCTGCGCTGACCTCTCGGAAACGCGAAGGATCGATTGTTTAATCCGTCCATGGGTGTCGTCGTGTAATCTGCGTTGTCTTATAAGTTACTAGGGCCACCA